CCCACACTCACTTAGCGGCATAGACTCGTCCGCGTTCTGTTCGTGTCCCTTCCCTTCCCCTCCCCTAGACTGGCTCCACCAAACCCTGCCCTTATAATCAGCCTTCTCTTATTGACCCCTCCCCCTTTTCCCGCGACTCACTCGCACGAAAATACGAACATATTTTAACTTGTACCCCATTCCCCTATAAATGTACTGGCCCGACGAGAATTTATCGAAAGCCCACGTACGCTTGCCAACTACTCTCCTGGATTCACTGTAAACAACAAAATACGTTTTAAAACTATACCTTAGAGTAAACAGCAACGAATTGGAAAGTTGTCAGGTAATGAGGTCACAATCAAGACTGACGTGGAATCCATGAATCCACGCTCCCCACATAGGAAAGACTACCATATGTGGGCGTAAAGACCAGGCCTTCAGTGGCACATTGAAATGGATCTTTACCTTGCCAGCCACTGCGTCCAAGTCTACCTCTGATCTCATCGACTCTGCATTTTTTACCGGAATGCGGGGTGTGATGGAAGCAGACCTATCGTTACTCAGCTTCAGTACAAACAAATTACCACCCGAATCACGACCGAAACCCCCATGCGAGGCAATGGCGGACTTCATTGCCTGCCGCGTTCGAACGAAAAAAGTTGGTGAACAAAAGCAAGGGAGACTGAAATGGTCGCTTTTATATCAGTAACTGTCGTCAGCCAGTCATACCCCGCCACTGGTTCTGCGGAATCCGCGGCTCCAACCCGCAACCTGTTGAAAAGAAACCCAAAACCCTAACCCACGGAGTCACGGGCTCCTTGTCTTGTCGGTTTCGGTCGGGAAGATGAACAATGGTGGATGGACGCTCTCTAATATTTTTCAGTAAACGTTTTTCTGCCCATAATACTAGCCGCCGTGCGGATGTTGGCGGAGCTTGATAGTGAGCCCCAAATCAGAACGAGATCAGAACTGATGAGCGCCCGGCAACAAATGCCAATATTCCCGACCGAAACCGACAGAGAACAAGCCCGTGACTTTTAATCAACAGGTCGCGTGTTCGAATCTTGGGTGGTGCAAAACCTGGGGTTAAGTACGGTTAGCTGACGACGGCGCACTAACCAGAAACCGGTAGTCTTGCCTCCCTTGTTTCTCGGCGATGTTCTAGAGAAGGGCGTGGCGGACAGCCAACACTATTGTCCGACTTCCTTGTTCGATTGACCCATAGGCAGTCGCGACTATCTGTACGCACGTGTGTGCGCGAACGGAAGTCGGTCAAGCGTCTGCAGGTCAGAGAATCGGAAAGCGCTCCCTACAAAGTTGCATAACCCTGTGACAGTGGGCATTGAACAAAAAGCATACGACACACGGTA